CGTCATCTGTCACCTCCAGTCTCTCTCCCTAAAACCTTCAAACAAGGTCAGAAATCTAGGGGTAATACTGGACTCCGACTTAAATTTTAATAGCCACATCAAATCAGTACCATCAGCAGCTTTTTACCATCTAAAAAACATTGCCAGGATCAAAAACATAATGTCTAAAAGAAGACTTGGAGATTCTTATCCATGCATTTGTCTCCAGTAGGTTAGACTACTGCAATGGCCTGCTCACAGGTCTGTCCAAACAGGCTGTAAAACAGCTGCAGTACATTCAAAATGCAGCAGCTGCATGCAGCAGAACCAGGAAATACGACCACATTGGCTCTAAATTGTTCTGCCCGGCTCAAATGACGGTGCAGAACTGAGGCCCGGGTGCAGAGCTGCTTTGCCACAACCTCTGAGCCCCCATCTGTTCAGTTACTAGCGTCAGAAGCTAGTCAAATTGAAACTGTGTGTGTGTGTGTGTGTGTGCTCAGTTACTAGCCTCAGAACCTAGTCAGATTGAAACTGTGTGTGTTCCTTGCTTGAAGTCTAAAGCACTATATGCAAGGAAATCTGACCTGGTTGTCTGACACAGTAACTTAATAAAAGACAGGCAGAAATAGTTCTAAAAATAGGGTTGTTAAATGTGGATTAATGAACGTCATAATCAATCTCGTCTAAATCGCTTCTCATAAACGAACTTATTATAGACAAGGGTTTGGATTTGTTTGCGCTCTCGGAGACTTGGCTCCAAAAAGACGACTACGTCAGATTGAATGAGTGCACTCCTCCGACGCATGTTAACTACCAGAAAGCCAGAACTACAGGTCGCGGCGGTGGCGTTGCGATTATATCACACACCAACTTACTTCTTAGTCCCAAAACTAACAATGCTTTCCCTCGTTTTAAGACATAACACTTTCAATCACCTGTCCTGGGTGGAGAAAACAAAAAGCGGTGTTATTTATAGTTTTATACCGACCTCCTGGTCCTTACAGCGAGTTCCTAACAGAATTCTCTGACTTCATTTCAAACCTAGTTTTGGAATGGGAAAACATAGTTATAACTGGAGACTTCAATATACATGTGGACGACAGCACTGACAGCTTAAACAAAGCTTTCAGCGCCGTACTAGATGGTGTTGGTTTTACTCAGAATGTTGAGGAACCTATTCACATTCATAACCACACCTTGGACCTTGTCCTGACCTACGGCTGTGATGTCTCCAATGTTGACATCCAGCGTCAAAGCTCGTTGCTGTCTGACCATTTCTTGATCACGTTTGATCTCGATTTGGAGGACTTTCCTGCGCCGCAAGCTAAAACCATAATGAAAAGAACCTTAAATGATAAATCTATCACAAGGTTCAAAGAACTAATACAGCCTATGTTGAATACTGCTGCAGGTGAACCTGTTCACAGCTGCTGCAGTCCCTCAGTCATTGACCAAACGGTGGACAACACTATGGAGTCTTTAAAATCTGCATTAAATGCAGCAGCTCCTTTAAAACAGAAAACTATTAGGCTTAGATCATCGTCGCCCTGGTACAGTGTTCAACTCCACACTTTAAAACAGGACGTCAGAAAATTGGAGAGGCTATATCGCCACTCCCACTCGGAGCCTGTCCACAGGGAGTGGAAAGCAGGTCTCCGAAACTACAAGAAGGCCCTTCGCAGGGCTCGAACTCAATACTATTCAACTTTAATAGAAGCGAATAAAAATAACAGTCGATTTTTGTTTAGCACTGTCGCTAAACTCAAACTGCCATAGCGCAATCAAGCCTAAAATTCCAAGCTCACTGAGCAGTGTCGACTTTCTCCACTTCTTTAATAATAAAATTACATCCATCCGTGACAAACTGGAGGAGGTTACTCCTGCTGTTGGTAGTGGACAGGCTGAAGCAGCATAGTTGACTTCCCACTTAGACTCTTCAGTGGGCCTCGATAAATTCATGGCTGTGAGCCAAGCAGAGGTGATCTCTGTGGTCACATCCTCAAAAGCCTCAACTTGCATGTTAGACGCAGTCCCGACATGGCTCTTCAAAGACATACTTCCTTTGATAATTGAGCCTATCGTAAATATAATAAACGCATCCATACAATGTGGCTATGTCCCACAACCTTTTAAAACCGCGGTAATCAAACCCCTTCTGAAGAAAACAAACCTGGACCCAGAAATACTTACAAACTACAGACCGATCTCAAACCTCACTTTCATATCTAAAAATCCTGGAAAAACTTATAGCTGAGCAGCTTCGCTGCCACCTGCAGGAAAATAATATGTTTGAAGTCTTTCAATCAGGATTCAGAGCTCATCATAGACTGAAACGGCACTAGTCAAAGTCACAAATGACTTACTACTAGCTGCTGATAATGGACAAGTGTCAGTGCTGGTCCTACTGGACCTTAGTGCTGCATTTGACACAATAGACCACAGCATTCTACTGCAGAGGCTAGAATGTGATATAGGTCTTAGAGGAACAGCCCTTGGCTGGTTTAAATCCTATTTATCAGATCGGTATCACTTCGTCAATGTGAATCAAAACTCGTCGCCTTATTTTGGAGTAGAATTCGGTGTGCCGCAGGGTTCGGTACTCGGACCGATTCTTTTCACTCTCTACATGCTGCCGTTAGGTTAGGAAACTGCTATGCAGATGACACACAGCTTTATATGTCGATGAAGCCAAATCAGACAGATCAGCTAGAAAAGCTTAGTGCCTGCATAAAGGACCTTAAAATGTGGATGACACTTAACTTCCTACTTCTCAACCCGGAGAAGACAGAAGTGATCCTACTCGATCCGAAGCGCCTGCGTGACTCCCTTACTAACCAGATAATCACTCTCGATAATGTCAGTATTATACCCAGTAACACTGTGAGGAATCTTGGAGTCATTTTTGACCAAGAACTCTCCTTCAAGGCTTATATAAGCCAAGCAACTAAAACAACGTATTTCCACTTACGGAATATCGCTAAAATTAGGAATTTCCTTCCTAAAAGTGACGCGGAAAAACTCATTCACACGTTTGTCACCTCAAGGCTTGACTACTGTAACGCTTTATTGGCAGCATGCCCTAAAGCCTCTTTGAAGAGCTTCCAGCTCGTTCAGAATACAGCAGCTAGGATCTTAACAGGTACCAAAAGGAGGGAGCACATAACTCTGGTGTTAAAATCACTCCACTGGCTCCCTGTGGAGTACAGAATAAAGTTTAAAATCCATCTCTTAACATATAAAGCCATAAATGGTTTGGCTCCTTATTATCTCCAAGACACGTTAGTGTCGTATCAACCAAGTCAAGCGTTGCGCTCACAAAAAGGAACTTGTGGTTCCTAGGGTCTCAAAAATCACTGTTGGCGGCAGAGCATTTCGCTACCAAGCTCCTTTACTGTGGAATCAGCTTCCCATTTATGTTAAGGAAGCAGATACGGTCTCCACATTCAAGGCCAGGCTTAAAGCACTCTACTTTAATTTAGCATATAATTAGCTAATAAATAATATATGGTGTATATATTATATATATATGCTGTATTATGTTGTATATTATGTTATATATTATGCTGTATGTTATGTTATGTATTATATATGATATATATGGTATGTATGGTATATATGATGTATATGATATATAATATATAATTAAGTTTGCACACTTGGTGTGCAATCCATGAATCTTGGTGCTGTAACTTAGGCTAGCCTAGCCGTGGCTGCTGTTGTCTCGCCTCCTTTCAGATACGCTCTCTTTTATTCAAGGCTAGGTTTAAAACAGTCCTCTTTAGTTTAGCATATGGCTAGGAAGGTAAGACTCAGGGAAGGCTAAACTCCTCAGACTGTCAGTCAAGCTGCATAGGGAGTCAGTTTGCTGGGAGAAGTATGGTAACTTGAGCACTATCCTCTCCTCCTTCCTACTTTACCTGTTTAGCATTATTAGGATTTTGACTGTAGTTTGTTCATTGCTATTCACCCGTTGTCCCATTGTCTGTTTCATGGTACGATGACGGGATCTCTGAGCCTGGCCTCCTCCATCTACACCTGAGGACTGCCCCGCCCGACCCGCCTGGGAGTGCTTTAGTCCTGCACCGGACCTGTCCACGTTCAGCGGCCACTGGTCCAGGTTCTGTAGCTAGCTTAGGTCCTAGATCATTAGCCTGTCCGTCCGGAGGAGCGGATCCCTTTCTCAAATGGGTCTCCCTCCCTGTGGGTTTGCCTAGTTCTCCCCAAGGTTTCTCACTTTTTCCCACTGGGTTTTTTTAAGGGTTTTTCCTTGTCGATGCAGGAGGGTCTTGTTGGACAGTTAGTGTCCAACGGAAAGGATTGGTGATGATTCAGGACACTTTAGCATTCTACAACATGTATGGACATTTTCTTCTGTGTGTGCTTTATATTCTTCATGTGTTTTAACTGTTGATTCTCTGATATGTGTTGGTGATTTCAATGGTTTTGTTAAGTCCTCTGAGATGACTTCTGTTGTGACCTAGGGCTATACAAGAATAAATTGTATTGTATTGTATTGTGCATTAGTCCGGTCCTCAGGTCTCTGCACTGGCTTCCTGTGGCTCAGAGAATAGACTTTAAAACAGCTCTGCTTGTTACAAATCTCTCCATGGCCTCGCACCAAAATATATTAGTGACATGTTAGTCCCACCAGCCCGCCCGGACTCTGAGGAGCACAGGGACTGGACTCCTGTTAGTGCCCAGAGTCAGAACTAAACATGGGGAGGCTGTTTTTCAGATTCATGCTGCTAAAATCTGGAACAATCTTCCTGAAGATGTGAGACAGGCCTCCTCTCTGACAATGTTTAAAACCAGGTTAAAAACAGTTCTGTTTAGCTGTGCATACAACTGAGGGATTTTATATTTTTATCTTTCCTTTTAATGTTCTGTGATTATTTATGATTTTAATGCTATTTTGTTTTGTTCAGCATTTTGAGTTGCCTTGTGTATGAATTGTGCTATACAAATAAACTTGCCTTGCCTATTTAATGTAAGATCCTGAATAATCATCAGGGACGTACCTGCAGGGCGCATGGCCGTCTGCCCGATGCATTTAGTGCCAGTGCCAAGTGAAACCACCTCCATCTTCACTGCAAATCAGAGATAATGGAGAGACATTACAGAAACAAGATTATTGATGACCAGTGTTGTAGCAGCAGGGTACAAAGACACAGCAGAAAACGAAGATCCCTATCTCAATTAAAAGGACCGTTTCCTAAAAACAACATACAATAATGAAAGTTTAATCACAGCACACTTGATCCAAAATTGTTTTATTTGTTGTGAAATAAAAAATGTTATTGGCAAAACAAATACATTAATATTTGGATCCTAACACAAGTTAAATCCATATAATTGACATGCAGCACCTTGACCTTGCAAAGTATATACAGGTATGTAGTGCTTTTACCTGGGTCAGAGTCTGTGCTCCTCGTCACCTGGACCACAGCAGAGAGCAGGGTCCACTCTCGGCCCACCTCAGGCTTCCCAGTGCGGGGCAACGACTGGAAGTGTGCATAACAGAGGGAAGCGATCTCATCTGGCTTCAAGGAGGACTCCACAGTGTCCATGCTCGGGCAACCATACAGGTGGGACTTTAGCTGAGACATTTGAATATTGCCCATTTACTTATCTATTTCAATTTACAGTGTGTGTGTGTGTGTGGATGGATAATGTAAAGTAAAATAACAAAAACGATTACCTATATTCCCGACTGACACCGAAATATCTGATATCAGACCTTGAGGTTCTAAAATAATTTCTAATGAGTTTTGTTTGTTTGCAGGATAAGCCTGAGAGATTAATCATCTTAATCAAGTGTATTTAGCTGTAACTTTCCAGAAACATAAAATCACCTGCATGTATGATGATTGTAAACTACTGTTGTTTAACACCATTTATCGGCCTTTATCTTTACTATACAATTACACATGTAGAGCATATTTGATTCAGTACTTTTTCAACGAACTTACGTGCTTCGGTGCGGTCTCATCAGTATGAACCTTAGAATCTAGGATATCATCTATAATATAACCGTTCTTGTAGATCCATGAATGTGACACATGCGTCTGTTTACAAATGTGCTTGTCCAGCGCATGCGCCCCGTGAGTCTTCTTCATTTGGCGTTCATTGGTGTCTGGCTATTTCAGCTGAGCATTACCGCTCCCTAGCGCATTAACCCTGTCACAGCAATGGCTCAGGTTTGTTTTCAACATTGTGAAAGCGGGGCATTCATGGATTTCTAAAATAATCCGGTGTCAACATGTGGTCCAAAAATATCCATCGGCTGCCAATATAACAACATATTCAACCGGTTATAACAAATACCTTTGTCTAATTTTCTACATTTTTGTTGGGTCTATTGAGGGAATTGTTGCCTGATTGACTTGAAAAAAATAGTATACATACAAGTATATAGTATACATACAAGTATACATTTTTATACAGAAGAATAATGAGTCAAACATCCATCCGTGTTTGAATAAATCTGCACTGAATGATGAGATTCCAATTTAACATAGACCAATGTTAAAATATAATGAATAGGAGAAATGGTAATGTAATGTTAAGGTAGACAATCAAAATCAAAATAAATCCTATGTTTAACTTTAAATGTACAAACATATGTAAGGATCCAAAATGATCACATGTTACAGTGCGTGTACATTACCTAATTACCCACTTCTAGAAAAAAAACCTTTTCGATTCTAATCTGCCTTATCATTTATACAGATTTTACATTTCAAATGTATAGTAGGAAAAATATTATTAGCCGCATTTGTACAGTGCAACTTTTAAACCTCTTTATGGCTTTTAAAGGGTTGAAATCAGTCAAAAATGAAATAAAATTGAGTGGCGAAAATCAGACCTGGTCTAGTCAATTTGCAATCTTTGATGGAAAAATTGTATCATGATGTTTACTAAGAAAACTACAACAGGGTTCAGAACAAAATACACATCGCATCAATCAAATCTAACTTCCTGACTTGAATGCACTTGAGATGACGTAAAGACAGCGATTCATGCCACACAGCCCAGGAATCTGACTGCAGCAGTTTGTAAAGAGGAATGGTCAAAAATGTGTAAGATTTTATTTTATTTTTTTGCGTGTGTGACAACAATGCTCTTCCGTCCTGATCAATGTGCCAGAGTAATTTGCTACCACAGGAAGCATCTGGTTGAAGTTATCGCAGCCAAAAGGGGCAACCAGCTATAGATACAATTCAGTTTCTCATTCCTCCCTCTTCTGTCATTGTTTATCTGCAAGTGCCATTACGCATGTTAAAATATATAAATGTCTGGGTGTTTTAGTTAAAACAGGCCGTTTTTCTTTTGTGTGATTTTGAGCAAAATCAGATACCAGTTTGTGGCGATTTTATGCAGTAATGTGAGAAATTCCAAGAGCTTCAGACACTTTTTCAGTCCACTGTATCTTAGCCAAAACGTGAGAATTGTTTCTGTGTTATTCAAGTCTTATCTCATTGAAGTAGAAATTTTTCCTGGCATTCAGCACATGCTACAAGAACATTCTGTGTGCATCATTAAACATGTCTTAAGCACTGCCGAGCATTTAGCAACCAACAGGGCTGGACTGGCCATTGGGCGGACAGGGCAATGCCCAAGGGCCGATGCCCATATTTGGGCCGGCCTGTCTGCCTCATACAAAAACAAGCTTGGGAAAAGGGTAAATCCGCTGAGAAATGTTCAAGGGGGGCCGCGCGTGTCCGCGGGCACCTGCTGTATGTGCTCGAACGGGATTCAATAAATACACCGCTGTAGGAAACAGTCCGCGTCTCCCATGGATCTATTATAATAACTGGATAGGGCAGTGTCTCCCAAAGTGGGGTCCGCGGCCCCCTGGTGGGCCGCGAGGGTACTGCAGGGGGGCCGCGGGAGGTCATAAAAAAAAAATAATAATAATATAATTATTTAATGTTAAATTTATAATGTTTTGTTTGTAATATTAAAATATTTGTGTTCATTATTTGACTTGAATAATCCACTGTAATCATTTTTGTATTACAATGTTTGTAGCAGAGGCTATTTCCCCAAAATAAAATAACCAGAAGAGCCTATTCTTAATGTTGTCTTCTTGGTTATTATTTTGGGGGGCCACGCAGACCCGTCAGATTTTTAAGGGGGCCTCGGTGTTACTGAGTTTGGGAATGGCTGGGATAGGGTATTACTAGCTTGTAGCTGAATAACTCATGTGCTCGGGGGATTCTCGCGGTACTGCAGACTGAACCAGACTAAATTCACGTGGGCTACTCAGAAATTTTCCCCATAGGACTCAATGCATATTAAAACAGCTCAACCTCAGCTGACAGAGAACCTACAGCTTTCATAAAGGTCGGATTTTGTGGGGATTTTAGTGTCCCTTGTCATCCTGAACTTTTTTTCTTCTTAAATCCTTCGGTTTTGTTTAAATCCACACTTTAGTGCCACAAACTCTGCTCGTCTGGCTCTCGCTCTAACTCCCGCTCTGATGAACTGCTCTGATTGGTCAGAGCGCAACCGAGCCCCTCTGTGCACGTGCGTGAGATCCGGTGTACACACGCGTGTTTGACGCAACGCATTATGGGAGACCATCCACTGCACAGAACCGGGAGGACCAGACGATGCCCAAATACAGGCGAGTTTCCCATAGATCTTTGCGAGTTTCAGGCGACTTCCGCTAATCTTTCAGCCCCCATGCCGTCACAAAGCGTGTCACTCCCGTATTCGTCCCGGAAACCGGATTCGTCCGGAAGTTCAGTTTGCGCATGTCAAAAAGTTTAATATGTCCTTAAGTGGTGACTGGTTAAGTTTAGGCGTCTGAGTAAGATGGTTAAGGTTAGGGTTAAGGCTGGGTTGGGGTTATTTTATGGGAGTGGCTGGTTAAGTTTAGGCATGAATAGGTAGTTTTTTATATTTACTTCCGCTTCCGTCCAGATTCCGTGACGTAATCTACTGCTGCGTATGCTCATTGGATCAAACTGAACTTCCGGATGAATCCGGTTTCCGGGACGAATACGGGAGTGACATCGGCCACTGAGCACAACCATTCATTTGAATAGGGCGCCATCTTGGATCGCCGGGGCTTGGCGTCTCCCCTCTCCTCTCGTAGCGCGACTAAACGCCCTAAATTAAAGCTCGGGTACCTAAATTTCCATTGGATTAAAAGTTCATTAAAGCTGCACTAACTGACTTTGGGATTTTGAAGCAGCAGACCCGCTGGCCTCTCTCTTTCTGCTCCCCTCCCCGCACCCACGAAGCTATCGCCCCCCACACACACCCACTGTTGGGACGAAGCTAGCGTCTCCCAATATGGATAATACATGGACATGGATTTGCACGTGGATGGCGTGACCATAGAACGATAGAACCGGGAAGCGCGGAGGAACGAGACTTTCTTTTGGATGGCTGTCTTGCTGTGTAAGCAGTAACCGGTGATGAAGAGACGAAGCTTCAGGTTAGCTCCTTGGCTTGTTGTGCTAACTCAGCTGTCTGTGCTAACGGAGACCTGTAGATTTCTCACAAAAGTGGGGGCCAGTGGTCCGCGGTGATTGGTCACAATCCGCGCCCCGAAACACATTCTCTTCCTTGTTTCATCAAAACTCGATCTAAAATATAATGTCACGCCAGCACAAATCTGCGCTACTTTTTCGTCAAAAGGACGTATATCCCAATGCCCTACACGGACATGGATAGCATTTTCGTAATGAATACAAAAATAAAGTCAGTTAGTGCAGCTTTAAGTAAAATGTTGTGAACAAATCAAACAGATTTAGAGCCAGCTAATGGCTGACAATATGCATTTCAGTCTTTTTTGACCAATTCTCATGCCTGTAACAAACAATAGTGTTGTCTGTGTCCACCTCCCTCACTCTGAGACATGTTTATTACCCTCTTGTAATGTAGACTATTGCACTTAATTTTTTTGTTGAAACTGCAGACATCCTGATCCTCTCCAGTATTTTCTTCCACATACTGTATAAACCAGGGGTCGGCAACCTGCGGCTCCGGAGCCTTTTTAAAAATGTCTGAAAATGGAGTGGGAGGGCTATATTTTATTTCTAGTTTGAATTTGGTTTCTGTAGGAGGAAAAACATTCTTAACGTTTTTAAATGCTGTAAAAATGTGTGCAAGTAATATTACATTTAAACATTTCTGTCAACGGAGGAGCGGTGGAGTGCGCAGCATGTAAGACGTACCTACAGACGCTCCGCTAGAATGTGATTCTAAATGTATTTTGACACCTTTATTTAAACTTTTTTTTGGACACCACTTGTTGCTGATAACAATTACTGTCAGTCGACTCTTGAATCAGCAGTGAACCTTCAGACAATCATGTACAGTAGGTCCCATTTCGTTTTGTCGTCTTCATTCACGCTTTTCGGGAATCACGCAGCTGCGTGAAAAATATTACATCTTATCGCCACAAGGTGGCAGGTTAAGTCCGCTTTAGCTCTGCCAGCGACTTAAACGCTCAAGTATAATGGGCTAGACACACGGGAGGCGACAAATGAGAGCGATCAGCGAAACTCAACGCTGTCGCTCAGATAACATGACAGACGGGGCGCGATGCGGCTTGACGACAGCATCGCTGTGCATGTATCGTGCACGCGCAGGTCAGCGACGCGATCCCAGGAAGTTGAAATCGGCTCAACTTTTCGACGCTGTCGTCAAGCCGCATCGCGCCCCGTCTGTCATGTTATCTGAGCGACAGCGTTGAGTTTCGCTGATCGCTCTCATTTGTCGCCTCCCGTGTGTCGAGCCCATAAGACTGCGTGCAAACCTGTTTTGCGTAGTGACGCACACATGTGGCGCAGAACTAAAAAAGGTCTTGTTATGACTCTCAAATCATTAATGACAAAACAAAGACTAAAACGAGGATTTATATCGGGATGCCTTTGAACAATTGAGACAGCTGATAAAAGTTCACGTGTGATGCAGAATTTTCTAGTTTAAGTGCGTTCTTCACAGTGTGTAGTTCATGTGAATCGGTGGTCTAATGGTCTAGACTGTGCGCTTACGACGCACAAACCCGGGTTCGATTCCGGGCTATGTCTTTTTGTATTTATTGCATGTTATCACATTCTATGACAGATTGCTCTAAAAACGGTAAAAGATGAAGGTC